GTATTCATTTTGAGACATGCTCTCCACTGCGTGGCCCGGTGAACCTTAAATTCACATTCCTGCTCAAACGAATTCTCCTGCCTCAGCATCCTGAGTGCTGGAATTATGGGTGTGATGAGCTACCACACCTGAAAGACTGCTATGTTTTGTTTTTCAGGGGACAGGGTTTCTCTGTGTATCCCTGGCTGTCCTGGAACTCTCCAGGCTGGCCTCAAACTCAGAGATCCACCTGCCTCTGCCTCCCAAGCGCTGGGGCTAAAGGTGTGTGCTACCACGCCCAGCTGGCCACGGTTTATTTGTTTGTTTGTTTGAATGTTTTTTCATTTATGTTTTCGGGAGCTCTTAAAGATGGGGTCTAATGTTACCCAGGATAATGTCCAACTTGCTATATAGCCAAGGATGACCTTGAACTCCTGACTCTCCTTTCTGTACCTCCCACACGCTAGGGTTACAGGTATGCACCACATAGCTGTTTTATTGAGTGTTGGGTCGCAGACCCAAGGCTTCCAAGCATGCTAGGCAAGGATAGGCAAGCACCCTGAAAACTGAGCCCCTGCTTTTGGCTTTTTGATGTATATCAGGAGGTGTATGCCATCTTGCCTGGCTCCTGCCAGGTCTGGCTTTCATTCCCACTCTTCGACTTACTGTGCTCCTGGCATCGCCCATCAGCCGATACCCCCTCCTGCTGGAAGCCCCTAAATACACGTGGAATCTCATCCAAAGGCAGGGTGATGGATGAAGGGCTGAGAAGGCCCCTGCTGGTCGGGAGTGTGGAGGTGGCAGGGTGCGGCTGGTCACCCAGCACAGGTGGGGCAGACAGCCAGGCACCACGGACATGGGTAGCGACACACAGGCAGGACAGAGGACAGGCAGGCAGGCCGGAGGACCTGAACTGCACAGCTGCTGAGGCACCCAGCCCACAGAGGGCTGCTGTGTGGTCCCACAGGCAGAAGATTTTTTTAAGAAGGCCAAGGCCAGATGTGGAGTCTCCGGCCTGCCATCCCAGCTGAGGCTGAGACAGAAGCCAGGGCTGTAGAGAGAGTGCAAGGCTAGCCTGGGGAACATGGCAAGGCTCCCCTCCCCCAGCACATGAAAGACAGAACTGTAGCTCAGTGGTAGAGCTCTCTCTCCCCCAGCCTGCTCAGCCTGAGTTCAGTCCTCAGGAAAGCGGAAGAGTTCAAAGAGCCATCCAGAAGAGGCCTTTGCCCCTTCGTGTGACCTCAACTCCTCGTCTGTAAAGTGGGGAGCTCCACAGTCCCTCCTCCTGACATGCCCCGTGGCTTAGTGAAGCCAGCTGTTACCAGGGCCTGTCTTGGTCACAGGACAGTGGCCTTGCACTCTGAACACAGTTATGGTTGGGGTGGAGCCCTAGCTCTGAGCCCAATTTGGCATCTTTGGTTCATCTTTGGAATGTAGAGGCAGGAGGGCTGTGAGTTCGAGGCCAACCTGGGCTATGTAGGGAGTCCCTGTCTCAAACAAAGAATATAATTTAGCACAGGCCCAGATGGAGAGAGCTCACTCATGGCATGGGTAAAGCCTGTTGAATGAATGAATGAATGAATGAATGAATGAATGAATGAATGAATGA